AGAGAAGTAGAAAAAGATGTAGTTCGTAGTGCGAACCCGTTTTCTACGAACGCGCCGAGAACCGAACCGGTCGTTCCACCGTGCGATGCTAATTTTTGCGCTGACACACAATATCTGCTGAATAGAGGAAACCGAACGTACGTGAGAAGTGCGCGACAAACGTGCTTCTTATGAAACACAACAGGACGTTTTCGCAATGAAGCGAAATGTTAAACGGAATAACGCGCGATGCTCGCACCTGTAAATTCGTTTAATATAACACGATTAATTGATAAACTAGCGTAACGTGTAACGTTACAGTATAATTACATGTAAATCGATATAATGTATAGTAATATAAAATAATCGAATAATTAAATAATATTTAGAGTGACTCATAAAATTTAATCTTTATCTAAGAAGCCAGTTCTGTAGGTCAACGTGAACAAAAAATTTCAAATGAAGAAGAATCCAATTAGTAACAGTTTTTGTCTTACATATAAAAAGACTCTCACTGGAAATTGTATTCTGTTTTTTTTTACATACAATGGGGAATGAAAGACATTAGGAACAACCGTGTCCATTTATGATTCACATTTGTGAGTCACACCAATGTGGCTAGATACATCGCGAGGTAAAAAGAAAAGTTTTCAATTTACTTTAAGAATGTTACTATAATGTTTTTAAGTAACAAATTATTTTTTTTTCTTTCCTTTTATCATTTATCGATTTTCATTAATTCTGCTCAAGTCTACTTTTGCATTTTAGCATTCAAATTCCATCCTTTAATTATTGAGAATAGGACCCATATTTATATAACATTTCTTTCTCAAAATAGTTTAATGATTTAAATCTTTAAAGAAGTAAGGATGAAATTTAATGAAACAGTTTATATAATAATACAATTATTAAGATGATATACATAAAAAGTTAAGAGAGTTGTTTGAAGGGATTGTAGGGATTTAAGGGGAGAAATAAAGAAAGACTGGTACTTTCAATATTTCACGGTATTTAATCAACAGATTGGAACATCGTATTTAACGCTAAAATTTACGTCTCATAAGAGTAATTTCATATGTACGCGCGCATTTTCCCACCGTCTCGCGTGGATCAGGTGGAATTTTGATATATAATACTAAAAAATAATTGGAAATACTTTAAAAATACTCTTTGCAAATGATAACTTTTAGAAATACACATGCTTCCTCTCTCATTCTCTCCCTTACTTTCTCTTTCTCATTCTCACGGATCATTTTCATCCCTACCGTACAGATCTATCGACTACAATATTTTGAATTCTTTTTTTTTTCCCTTATACGTTTTATACAGAGATTTAAAATCACAAGAAATTATTATTCGTAGTGTATAATAGCATTATTGTTGTCATCATTATCAATAATCTTACAACTATCGACACGCAGTAGTGGTACAAAGTTATTTTGTTTTTCACATTCGCGAAATCTCGCAGAACATAATCGCAATTTCGAAAACGATCGAACACGATAATTTTCGCAGCTAATTATCGTCGATCGAGATTATCCCACGGCAGATACGCAATGCTTCACGACAAAGATATTTTATCTCGTCTGTGACGCGCACGGCAGCGGCCTATTCCAGATTGCATTGAATTGCATAATCACGATTTTAACTTTACGTTTTCGTATTACGTACTGATGTTTGCATTAACATCTATAAAAAAAAAAAAAAAATAATCACTCAAATCGACTAAACTTTGATCTTGCCACAGATACAGTGTAGCCTCGTTATCATCTATCATATTGCATTAGCGATACAAATTGTCTTAAAATAACATAGAATATCAAATTTAGATTTTACAAATGGAAAGAAGGCTACATTGTGACTGAAGAGGAATCTCTTAAAAGGCCTTAAATATAACAGTGCGTATAAATATACATTATTATCTATTATTATAAATAATCACAAACTAAATCTGCTTTGCATTGATAAATGACTATAACGATTATTATTTTTTTCATTCCTTCTCTTTTACTTTCCATCGCTCTCGTCACTCATATAAAGTTTATGGAACGTTTCATGGATTAGAAATAATTTAGAGGCTATTTTCTCACGTTTCACTAATGTCGGACTATTCTCACCAATTGGAAACGAGAAGGAAGAGTAACGCATCGAATTTTTAATTAAGATGCACGATTTAAACGAGACTGCGTGCTATTTTTATTCAGTAATAGCCTTTCCTCGTGTTTCCTTAGAAAGATGAGATGCCATTGACTTTTTACGCTACGCTTTTATCTTTTAGGTGCAAAGCCCAGGCAATTAACTCATTTCGCTTTTATTATGACTTATTCGAAGAATGACGTACGCGCGTAGTATATTAAAACAGATTTGACATTTGGTGAACTCATGACTTTTACTCACTTGACCCTACTGCTGCGCGGGTTATCTCATTTCTTATATACATATAAACAGATATTATAGTAATAAAGTTTTCTCTTCACATAGGATGCTTCAATAAAAAAAAGGGGGTAAGATATATAACTCGTGAGGAGTCATTTTTGGCTAATTTTGTAATGATTACATATTTAATTCTACTTGTTCGTTACGTGTGATAAAAATAGATCCACAATATATATCTAAATGTAATGTCCATATTATGTTGCTTTTATTTCTACGATCTATTGTTTAATTAAAGTGACAATGGAATACATAATATTCTAAGTCCCTCATAAGCTGCATGTAAACGTTGCAATTAATATAAATTTATTGATACGATTTGAATTTCATTTTATCGAAACATCCGTTAGAAGCAGCTATATTGTAGCAGTTGTTTTGTAAATTATACCGCATATGTATAATGGATAATGAATATTGTAGTAAAAATATGTTGGGTTACTAATTTCGATAAAAGTCTCGACCCGATGTGTTCGTATAACCTGCGAACCTAGATCAGAGTAAACATATGATAAAAAAAAGCGTATCTATTTCTAAGAGGAACATAGAATAATTGAGAAAGATTATGAAATAACAAAGAAAAAATTGGTCCAATCATCAGTTAAAAATAAAAATTCACACCGAGTGCTTTTCGCTCTTGTATAATATAGATTATATTTGTTCACACACATTGGCAGCGCTGTTTCTCATTAGATCCACTGCTGCTAATAGCACTTTTCGGCTGCTTGATTAAAGGGACTATTTGTAACACCATTACGAATATGTAGACACAACGACCATGATTTCCTCGTTGGATATATCTATGCAAACCTCGTATTTCAAGCATTCACAAACCTGTGCCTTCTCAACAATATCATTTTTAATCACAGTACCATCAAAATCATTTCTCAATTTCTGTATTTTCACACCCTGTTTGTTAACTATTAAAAAAAAAAAAATCAGCGTAACTATTCCCGAGAAATATATTTCTTTGGTCAAAGAACCAAGAAAAATCTGCCTTAATAGTTTCATCTATATTAAAATGTTAAGAACGCGATTCTATATCTAACAATGTTCCACATAATTTCAAAATTAAGGAATAATATCAATAACATTGTCGGAGTAAGTGTGTTGAATCATTCTCTCGGTAACAAAATCATCTGTAAAAAGGATATTTATAATCTTACGTATAAAGGTATCGTTTTTCTTATAAATTAAACAGATAAGGATGACAGCAGAAAAACATCGAAATAATATTGAATAAGACATGCAGTTAAACGTGACTGAGATAAAAGTTTGAAAAATCGCGCGAGATAAAAGTTTTAAAAATTGAAACCCAACGAGCGTCGCCGCGACGTGCGGTCCAACAAACGTCGAAAAAAGACTCGGTCGGTCGCTCGATGGGTAAATAGAAAAGTGCTCCACGTCTCAATATGCCCTTCCCGCACGACAAGTGACGATTCTGAAGAATCTTTCGAACGCGCCGAGTCTGACCCGCCGCTCTCAAATGTTATTGTTCACCGACGCCTCGCTGTCCAAAATTTTTTTTTGTCTTTTATCTCCTCCGTCAGCGGCTTGCTAAACACGGGCTCGATCGTCTCCGATAGCAGCTTCGGGTTGTGCTTGTCGATGTGTGTCAGCTCGAGTGGGAGATATATCGTCCGGCAGTAATCGATGTCGGCCCGACACAACGGGCAACGCTCGCAACGACGGGCGCAGTCCAAACAGGCCACCGCGTGTCCGCAGGGAAATAGAGCCGTATCCAGGCTCCGGTCCATGCAGATTCGGCAGAGCATAGCGTCCAGCAATCTCGCCAGGCATTCCCGAGATTCCTGAAATCGTGCAGATTGCCCGTGATATATCGTTCGCATCGAGTTTGTGCCGTTGGTGGAACTTCCGATTATCAGTACAGCGCGAATTCGTTGCTCACCTTGCACTTAGGATTCTCGCACTCCCCGCAGGCATGCCTCTCGAGAATCTCGTCCTCCTCCGGCAGGGCTATGGTCGCCGCCTCGCAATAAAGCGCACGTCGCGCATTGTCATATACCTCCCGGCAGGTCCTACGTATGTCGAACACATATTTTTTACCCAGGGTCGAGTCCTCGTTGAAAATGGAAATTATTGTCCCCTAGATTAATAAGAGAATCCAATTATAACGCCATTTGTATATGAGATTAGAAGTTCAAGGAAAAGAGTCGCATAACTGGAGAAAAGGAGTAAAAAAGAAAGTAAAAAAAAGAAAAAAAAAAAAAAAAAAAAAAAAAAAAAAAAAAAAAAGAAAGATTTTCAGATACACGAAATGAAATTCCGTACCTTTAAATCGCGGATGAATTGCGCGGTGACGGCGCTTCTAACAGTTTCGCAGCTGTAGAACGCGTGTTTCTCGGTGATTGCTCTGTAAAGCCCGCTGGCGGACTGGCTCGAGTCTAATTTAAAGTCCAACGACGTCTCCTCGCCGTCGAGTGAGAGGTAAACCAGGTGGAACATCCGCCGTTGTGACGTAGCGCTTTGTATAGCTGTATACGGTATGCTGTAACGCAATACATAATACATCGTATAATAAATTGAACCACGGTAAAGGTAAAGGTAAAGTAAAATCTTGATGCTAATCTCTCTCTCTCTCTCTCTCTGCATAATGGATGGAGGCGAAAGCTTGGAGGAGCACAACGATCTTATCGCATGTAAGCGTTTTTCTACTTATTATTATTGTTTTTCCAGGGGACAGTAACATCCTCATTAACGAGGAGACGTGGCTTTGATATTTTATTTTAAGCGCGGATTGATAATAAAGTTCTCTCAGTAACAGCTGTTCCGTTCAACGATCGTCCCGGCGGATGGTATGATGGTATGATGTAGCGGCCGGTACGTGCCGTCTCCTATCGTCGACGAGCAACATTAAAATCAATCTGATATTTCGCGTTGATAATAAATATAAAACTTAACGAGGCGATGTTAGATGAATTGACTGATCGATATACAAAGTGCTCCCATCCGAGAGCTTTCCATTTAATTTACATCAGAATTTATTAAAATTAAAAATGCATGGTATACGATAAATGCAAAGTTTTGAGAGACGTTAAACTCGATCATCATGCATTTTTCATGAACGTCGAAAAGAAGATATTATCGAGAGAGGGAATCTCGATGCGAAGCAATTTTGCTAAATTTGAAAATGAATGAATGTGTAATATTAATGCGCAATTACTTTTGTGTCTCTTCGTCCTGATTGCGATAGACGGTGATTCCGTGCGGACCCACGCCGATCATAGACACTCCGTTGTATCCAAATTTACTGTGAAACATTTCCTGCCCGAATGCATCGAGGTTTGATATCTCTTTCAAGAGCCAATATTCAGCGGTCGACGCTTTCATCCCCTGAAAATTCATGTACATCTCTGTTATTCATATATATGACGTATGACGCATATTCATGCGGCAATATTCGGTTATCAAATTGTAAATCATAAAAAAAAAAGATTCGTTCAAAACTCCTCTCTTTCTCACTCTCTCTCTCTCTCTTTTGAAATACGTCGTATCGCTGTAAATGCAACTATTCAACGAATATTGTGTTTTCTATTAAATACAATCACACGTGTCCTTATTTTAAATAAAATAAAAAAAAAGAATTCAAATTCAAACATGTAAAGCTATGGGAAAAATAGAGCGATAAAAAAGGTTTGTTAAATACCGGAAACGAGAGAATGCAAAGTTTATTCGGCATATGTAAAATTCATGAATAAAAAAAAAAATAAAATAGAACACACAGTATGTATTAAGTGACAATTAGAAAGTCACTAAAATTAAATAACTGTTATTCTGTAACGTAATTTAGTATAGAAATGAGTTAAACGTTATTTTACGGAAAATACTCGTAATTTTTATTAATAATGTGGTACACTAATAATATACGTTCATGAATTTGTAAAAATAAATGTAAATAAATAAATATAAAAAAGTTGAAAATTTGTATAATTGAAATACTTTAATGAAATTTGAAATGAATTTTATATGATCACGATATGAACGGCTCATTTTCATAATAATAACAAATTCCATAATATAAAAAATTTATTTAAAATTCTTCGAAAGCACAGTTGCAATTATTAATATTAAAAATTAGTAACTTAAATAAATTTAAATTATATAATTAAATTTAAAAAACTTCTCCATTATTGAGATGTGAATTTTAATGGTCGTAATTTTACATAGACGTATTTACGAATTGTTGATTCTTTCTTAAAATATTTATTTATTTTCATCTTCTTTCCTTTTCAGATTCCTTTCGCACTGCTATACGTAATAAAAATTACGAGTTACGAGTAGTTTCGCTAATAAAAAAATTATGAATTTCTTCTACAGTATCGCTCGTTTGATTTCATCCTGTTCACTCGTACTAACATAACAACTACTTAGCAGCATGTGTTTCCCGTTTGCCCATCCGGTGCGCATGACAGTGTGGCGAGTTGAATTAACAATTAACACCACTCGTACCTTGATTTCCTTGTGTTGCTGCACTATCCGGAGCAGGAAGTCTTGCGGTTTCGGCTCGCACGGCTCCGCGGGTTGTATGTGACAGCATTGGGAGTAAAGCGCGTGCGGAGGTGACAGCGCATCGTAATCACCACCGTCGGCTTGCGCTATCAGGGCGACCAGACGGGCCACGGAGCCCCAGTCCGCTACCTTCAATCTATTCTCGACCAGCTCGAGGCGCGAGTGCAGGTAGAATTGGTGCCTGCAATCACAGAAAGACGAGAGACGACGATGAGACGACGACACATCCGGAATACACTCGCGAGAAGATGTGAAAGAACGAGGGAGAGGGAGGGGAGGGGCAGGGGACGGAGGGGGTGGAGGGAGATTATTAATTGCAATTAGTTCAATTTCGCGTTATCGGGCGAATGCGAGCGCGCGGACCAGCTAATATACACGATACTCCGCCGGCTAAAGTAAGATTGATTACTCCTCCGTTCTCAGAGAGCATTGTTTCAAGGCTCTCTCCTCCTGCCTTCGTCTCCTCGGCCAGGCTGAACAATGCGGTAATACAATAATGCAGAAATGATTAACGACCGAGGAGGCACCGTTTGCAGCGGCGAAAAATAGCGGGGCTCGCACAATTTAATTGCGAGGCGGCCTGTTTAGGCGTTATTCCGCCGCCGGGCGGAGAAAACGTTATTTCGTCCCGTGCGTGACGTGAATCCTGCAAATCGTTCCTTCGGAGGGGCGGCTCGAACCGCACGCCGAAATCGGCGTGGCCCGGGTCATTTCCATTTTCGACGGTTTTTTCCAACCATTTTTCCTTCCCTTCTTCCCTTCGCCACGAGCAGCCCTCGAGATAGGCCACTCGAGGAAATAGGAGCGGCATCGAGGACACAAGGGATATTTTTACTTTGGTTCGCTCACTGAATTTCTGGTTGACAACTTAAATGATTCATACGCGCATTTCCATGGTACCATGACTCTACGCTTACATGCATATTTGAAGAATACCAGAGTGCACGACTGTGGGGTGGGTAGATGGAACGAGGGAGGGGGGGGGGGAAGAGGAAGGGAGAAGGGGGAGAAGCTCTCCAAAATACCTCCGAGCTCCTTTTGCATACTCCTGAATATCCTTCAGATGTACAATGCATACATCTCGCGATAAACATGTTGCCGTCGGAGAAGTGGAATTATGCGTCGAGAGGAAGTGAATAGCCCGTTCGCGAAGTACTGGAATACGGTAAAGAATCTACATTAGAATATACCGAGCTGTACCATTTTTCACGATTCTGCATACCGGTCTGTTTTCTTCCTTCTCTCTCCTCTGTTTCTCCCTTAGTTCCCTCGAAGTCACATCGAGAAAATAACGGATAATCAGCGTCGAGAGACTCGTGTACATATGACGCTGATAGCAATAATTTGGCATAATAGGAAAACAATTTGTTGTTCATATTTCTATCCAGCATCGACCCTTATTCAGGTCGCGTGCGACATTCATAAAGCGTCGACATCAAGTTCCGGTTTTATCGTCGTATCAGCGCCATTACCTCGATATCTGAATCAAAATAAAATAAAAAAAAAAAAAAAAAATACCGGAAGAGAGAAAGATACGCGACAATACCGGACTGTTCCGAGCAGTTGACTTGTTACATTCTTAACAAGGTGGATATCAATTTTGATTGATAGTAAATCGGGTCAACGTGACCCGATAAACGAGGGTCCATATCGGCAATTTGATCGGAAACATCAATAATCAAAGATCTCCAAACTTGTCGAACGTTGTTGATCTCGAGAAACGTCCTCGACGCTTGTTTACGAAAAATCCTCGGATATTTTCGATGCTTCTTTTCTGAGAGAAAATTGCCAAGAAAACATTCTTCGAAAAGATGTACAAAAAGAATCGTGGATAACATAAGACGGGTGATACGGGTAAAAAAATTGGGTCGCCATCGTAATTTCGTGAGATCTGCGCGGTCGAGCAGTCGCGGCCCCTGCCGACCTCATCACCGTCGGATCTCGAAACCGGCGTTTCTTCGAGAATCGCCGGTGGAAATCCAAGTAAATTAAGCGATTTTCCCCGCCATAAAGTTCCGCTGGTGCTCCGAAGACCCACCCCCCCCAAAAAGGAAGACATTATTTACCGCCCTCCCCGGTCGCGGATGTGCGAACAATCTTGCCGTCCTCGTCGTCATCCCGAACTTGGGCGAAATCGCGAGATAGTAGGACGTACTCGAGGACCCAATGACATTTGTCACCGTAAGAGAGATATTGGTTCTGCCCGAAGTTCCCGGCGAGGAGGTCGAAGAGGACTCGCCGGGAACTTCTTCGTCGGTGGACTCATTGTTAACAGTCGCGCGCGACGAAGTGGAGGACCGAAACTTTTCCGGTCGAAAATTCGCGCCAAGACAAAGGGGGCCGGCAATTCCAGCCGCCCACGCGGATTGAGCTTTCGCGAATTTGACTCTTAATCTAGCACCTCGGCTGGCTGAAAATCCCTCGAGATATTCCGACAATCGAAATTGCTTTCTAAAATTGCGAAATTGCGTTTCGTCTCGCTCTTCTTCACCCGCGAATATTGCGATATTACGTGAAATAACACAATTCTCACGACTGCGAGAGCGGCTCTGCCTGTAATATCTCGATTCTCCAGATAATGAAATAATCAGAATAGTAGTCTAATCGAGTTCACTTAATCTCGATCAGGCTCGCAGAGGAACTGCTGGATAATTAAGCAGAGTTTGCACTTTGTATTCGCAGTGATACCGTCTACCTTGTTAATCCGAAGTGACGCTGGATTTAATATTCCTAATGCGTTCCACGATACCTAACGATTAACCCTATCTCGCTGCGATATTTTACTTCATTCTTTCCCTCGATAAAGATTTTTCCCCCTTAAGTGAATTAAAATCGAATTGAACGAGACAAGAGAGCACGCTTCTAACATCGCGGACTTACACGCGGCAAGAAGATCTGACTAAATGAGGCTAGGTTGAGTGCTTTTAGAAAGCTTTCAAGTCGCCTTAAATGCCGGGAAATCTCTTGGTAAAATAAAGCTTTTATTAAGCGCTATTAAAGGCGAGGCATTTTTTAGAGAATTCGAATATTTTCCATAGCCGACGAAATATTTTATTAAGCCGCACGTCGAACGGATATCCGTGCGTCGTGCCGTATTGTATTTGACAAATATAACCATCGTCGCATGGTGGAATATTTGAATTAGTGCGAGTCAAGTAATATTAACGACATCATCATAGAACGTCTGGCTGGTGGCTGGGTATATTTCATTCATGACGTGTACACAGCACTTTCCCATGCATAATTCAGAAATGGAAACAAGGTCGGACCCTTCCGCGCCGAGTTTCAAATAGGGCGTTCCGCTCGATTGATTGTGCAAGAGGTACTTATAAATCAGTCATACTGGACCAACACGACGAGTGTGTTGGTAACTCCGTGGACCCGGCGACCGTGGGGATAATACATCCCCTCATTCTCCCGTAGAATTTGAAGATAAGATCGCGGCGTTTCACCCGAAAATGAGACGCGTAAAATTAATCCCGTTCCCCGGGACGAACGTTATCATTATCTACATCCGCTGACTCTCATTAAGCTCTACTGAGAAACAGGATACAGCGGATATAAACGAGAGGAAGAGAGAGAGAGAGAGAGAGAGAGAGAGAAAGAGAGAGAGAGAGAGGCGTAAAAACGTCGATTTCTTCAACATGATTAAACATGAGCTCTTCGCAGGTCCCTATTTAATAAAGATTACGCGCGTAAAGATGGCGAGCATCACCGTCGCCCGGCAAATAGCGTGAAAATTCGAGCCGACGTTTGCGACGCGGACGGGGTCGTAGAAAGCACCCCGCCGACCTTCCGCGTCCGCAATATTTCCGAGTAAATAATTCAGAGATTATTCCCAGCCCCGGTCCCGGGTAATTTTAAAGTGACCACTACGACCGGGACGATTCCAGTCGTCTCTGCTCGGTTTCGTCCTCAAATGGAAAAACGCGAAAGACCGTAGACCGCCGAAGGGAGGAAGGGGGAGTGGGTTGCGAGTTAACCGGGAGTCGGGATTTCTTAGGGGAATGAGTTTGTCGCAATTCGCCAGGACCGCAGCGAGTCAACCGCGTGCGGATTAACATTAGCGTGCGGCTGTCAGGCCGCGCGCGGACTGTCACCGGTGACATTAGCCGGCCACATTGTAAATGAGTCAACATCAGATCTGACATGCCGTGAATTTCAAAAGGGCGCCCCGCTCGTTCGCGGTCCGCTCAGATTTCTGCCAGCGAGTTTCCGCACGGCAAAGAGGATCGGCTTTGGCGGCGGCTATAAAGACCGGCTGCAAAGTGACCGCAAGGCGATCCCTGCGGAACGCTTCAAATTAGGTTTCATAATATTCTGGGCGCAGGAATGGGAAACACGTCGCAGGATACACGTGCGCGATATTAACCATCGCGTTTATAATGTACATGCGAATTACGAAGTTTTCTTGGCTGGTCCGAAGAAAAACCGAATAGCTGAAATAGTCAAGTGATAATTAAAAAATCGAAGTGACTGCGGAAATTTACCAATCGTCAAATTATTTTTCGCGTAAATGCCAAATTGATGCAGGATTTTCTAAAGACTGAAATAATAAACATAAATAAAAAAATATTTAGATAAATTTGATAGTCAAATTTGTACAGTAAATTGTAAAAAAAAATTTAATAAAGTTAAATTTTTACTTGTCAAAGATAAACGAAGCTCTCGACGTGAGTCGCAGTCAAATCACGTTTTTATTTCACTTCCTCTTGCATATTTTTCCGTGTCTCTTATTAAAATGTTTTTCTGTCATAATCTGCAGTCTTTTTATTCAGTTCCTTAACGTATTTAAAATTCCTTGCGATAGTAAGACAAAGCCGTGATGATGAAAGGCATAAGAAAAAACATGGCAACTATAATACAATCTTACTCGTGGCGTAGACAGAAAAGACGCGTATATATCATTCCTTTTTTTTCCCTTCTTCTTACCATCTTTTTTTTTACTCTTCTCTGCCGAACTTAAATTCTGGAGTAAAAATGCAAGAGCGTGAATATAATTTTCTTCTTAGCTCTTCAGTTTCGCAGTTCATTTAGCACAGGGAAAATAAAGAGAGGAAAAAAAGAGCCTTCCCCTAAATTTCTAAACTCCTCAAACCGCCCCCTCTCTCTCGCGCAAATATCTCCGGGGAAGCGGCTTAAAAATAAAAACGACGACGATGTTCGAGAATGTCTTCGCGC